AGCCGGCCTGCCTCGTCCTCTCTGCTTCCCCAGGATGCTGCGCTGGGCCGAGCAACCGATGCCAAGGAGTCGCCGGGAGAGCTGTGCCCCGATGTTCTGTATCGTACGGGCCGGACGCTGCACGGCCAGGATACTTACACGCCGCGACTCATCCTTATGGATCTGAAGGGTGAGGTGGTGGCAGGGTCAGCCAGTGCCCTGTGTTTCCCTTCCGCGAGCCGAGCCCTTGCGCTGCCGTTATCTTCAAGACCCTCCCACCTTACTGAGCTCAAGGACTGGAGATGAGCTGAGCACAGCATGCCAGCACTCCAGGGGCCCACGATAGTTGCTCAAGAGCCACCTCCGGAATGGGCTGCTAGGCCCTGCAGACAGTGAGGACTTGAACCAGAGCACTCCTGTGGGACTGCTAAATCTGGTTTTTGCCCCCGGTCCCACAGCTAATGACTAAGCTGGAAACGGAAAGATGGAATCTAGATTCTCCTAGGCCAAGGTTTTTCCCCCAACTAGTGTATATCCCAGAAAGCTTGGAAGAGCCAAGTGCTGGAAAGATGGTGACAGCAGGTTGTCAGGTGATCAGAGGAAGGTTGGCTAGAGGGGTAGGGTGCCCCAGGCTTTGACCTAACTTTGTCTCTGTTATTTCTGTACAGGTAGTTTGAGCTCCCTAAAAGAGGAAGGTGGACTCTACAGGGACAAACAGTTGGATGCTGCAATAGCATGGTGTGTAGTTGATGTGTGGATAAGGGTGGGGAACATGTATGTACATAGAACGCAGGAGAACTCATCAGAGTGAGGTTTCTTTGATCAATCTCCAATCTCTTTCAGGCAGGGGAAGCTCACCACACACAAAGAGGAACTCTGTCCCAAGAACCCTTATCTCCAGGACTTTCTGAGTGCAGAGGTGAGGGCCTCTGCCCTGAACTTTTTAACCCAGTGCTACAACCCGAGGGCCTCCATAGGGGCAGGTAAAAGGGGATTTTAATCACTTTAAATGTCCTAGAATGATATTTTGGGAAAAAGCACTTCTTTTCCTAAGGACCACGACTCGGTGAACAGAAAGGAGGCTGTGCGGTGTGGCCAGCCAACTCAAGAAGGATGAACCAACCTTTACCTCTAAACTGCCCGGAACTAAATGTAGATTTTTCTTCACCCCTCCCAGGGAGTGCTGAGTAGTGATGGTGTTTGGAGGGTCAAATCCATTCCCAATGGCAAAGGTGAGACT